AAACAGAAGGGAACTCAGGCCCGTGAGTGAAAGAAACATGCTATTTTGCACAGTTCCAGGGCACTACGACACCTCGTAATGAGCGTCCTTCAATTCGATAAGAGCATTATCAGTAACCGGATTTTCTCCTGTTACGTTTGTGTTCGCGAATGAGTAAACAAACCCCGTTGTTGCTCATCGACCCCTCCATAGATTCCAAATAACAAAACTGTCTAATTAGATTAGAGGAATTCGACATATTGTGTCTGGTTTCAGCCCTAAACATTACAAGAACTAGTAGCGTAATGATGTGTTTCATAGAGCTAACGGGTTTGACAATACATGGTAATTAGTCCCCTCTGATAAGCGACAACCCGGTTCTTATTACACAAAAACAGCAGGGCGCTAATGACAACACGAAGAAGTAAGCAAGTAACCAGGCTCGGTTATTCGCGTGATCTTCTGGTTTGTCGCAATAATGCTTGTGCCCATTGCTTGTAGACTACTTGAGAATTTCCTAAACTACTCGCATTGCAAAATCATCAGTTCTGTTCGATGGAAAACTCGGAGATTGCTGACCGAAAAACAGAAGGGAACTCAGGCCCGTGAGTGAAAGAAACATTTAAAAAACAACGTATAGTATTCAAGCGTGCGTGAGTTTTCAACACCTTCATGTGAGTATACTGTTCAGTATGCAATAACTTGTACAAAAACACGTAGCTGGTTCATGACAGGATACAAACTGCTAATCCGCATTAGGTTTAATCAAACTGCTTGCCTAAAACGGAATCAAATTGACTGTAACGCTTAAAGCTACGGAATCAGACGTTTACTTTTGCAACTGTAAAAAATTTTTAAATTACAACTTGGTGTTGCGAAATCAACGGTCATGAATGGTGTTCCAACTGATGTCTAAAAACCGCGGTAATGTATATTTTAGACTTGTAATCATTTGCTCGATGTGGCTTTTGAATGTGTGCACATTCGAAAGTAATTGCGTAAGTTGTATTCTGAGTATTAAGAAAGGCAACCTAAAAATGGATGGACCAAGTGTGTAAGGGAAACGCGGCTAAATGTTTTTAGGCGTAAAGTCATTCAAAAGTCACTCTAGTGTCGAGGAATAATCATTTTTCGGTAAGATATTCATTATGTATGACGAAGCGTACCGTTCTCCCTGATCAGCATCTTCAGTATCTACGAGTTCAAACATGTATAAAGCCATCAAACGTATGAACTGAATCAGACACCCGTCCAACACATTGAATACTACGAAATCAACCAGTGATCTGGAATTTTCGTGTTTGCGTGCAAAACTGGTGAATTTTGGTCACAAGAGTTGTAATATATTCCCTATTACATTGTTTATAAGCATAATATTTTGGTTTAGTCCGCCATTCATGTACGACAAACGGCAATAAAGTTTAGGGCCCTCAAGTTGAATTACGATACAATATTTCAGCTAGCATATCCACAACAAGGTAAACTCAGATTTGATCCAGTTTTTCGAGGTGACGTCTTTATTGAAGTCATCTTGGTAATTCAGGTTAAAATGAACCAAGAACGATTGTTTCACACACAGAAGTTACCTTTTGTTGCCTGCTCGTTTAGGTCCCTGTAATGCAGGTACATAAATCAGTCTTCACGAGAGGAAACTGTTGGTAGCTCATGTAGCAATCAAATCGCTCAGCTCGGTTTGCAAACCAGT